GCCGCCACAGCGCACCGTCAATGTCGCAGCGGCGAGGCGGACGGGCGACGGCTGCACCAAGGGGCCGTCGCGACACCTTGGCGCCGCGACGGTAGGCAACGAGGGGCCGTCGCGACATCCTGGCGCCGCGACGGCAGGCAACAAGGGGCCGTCGCGACATCTTAGTGTCGCGACGGCAGGCAGGCAGAAAACCGCGAAGGCTGCGAATGCAGCAGGAGTACGCAACGGGAACGTAGGGAGAGGGTCCGGTGGACACGACCGGCTCTGATACCATCTTAGAAACTTAGGACACAAGGTTCTTAAACTTAGGAGGCTAGGTTGGCTAGGATACTCGGAGTGACGCCATGGAATATCGTGAGGAGGAGTAGATCTAGGGGTAGGCAAAAGTGACGAGAAAGAAGAGTCATGATTAGGAAGAGAGAGGAGTACAAGGAGGGGTTTGTACCCTCTACAGAAAGGTTCAGTAACAACCTACCAAGCCTATATAAAATTATAACTTATATAATTTTAACAGTTGAACCCTTGTACTAGTATATGAGAACAAGTGATTGATTAAAGAAACAAGCATACAGCAATATATAGAGAATAAGAAAGCAGTTGTACAATACAGTTGCAGGAGCGGTTTATCGAGTCGCACAGCGACTCGATTGTCGCTTCGGTTACCATCCGCGCTGTTGTAACGGTCAGTCGCAACCTCCAGTTGCGACCCTTCGAGTCCCTTCGCGTTCTTTGTCCACCCCCTCGTGTAACCTCCGTTGACTCGCGTACCCGTTACGATCTTCCTCAAGTGTAGTGTTACACTTCAGAAACGCTTAAGTCCTTTGAGATATTTCCAACACTCCCCTTCGTTTCTGGAGTGCTGACGTGTTCAGATCCGGTGACGTTTGTCTGCCCGGTCAGCAGCATGCAGTAATCGAATTTCGCCTTCGCCAGTTTCTTCGTCAGGTAGTCTGCGGCCATTTCTGTTGTAGGGCAGTAACCGAGTTGAAGTCTCCCCTTCGCGATTTCATCTTTGACAAAGAAGTACCGCAGGGCAATGTGTTTGGTTCGGTTGGCGAAGCCGTCCTTGTTGGCGATTTTGATCGCAGATTGGTTGTCGCAGAGGAGTGAGAAGACGGGCAGGGTCGCGATCTTCGCTTCCTCGAGCAACTCTCGTAGGTAGAGTCCTTCCTTGGTCGCAGTGCAGAGGGCGATATATTCTGCTTCAGCCGAAGATAGTGCGATTAGTTCCTGCTTGCTCGACTGCCAGGAGATAGTCCCGATAGGTTCTAGTCGGTAGATGTAGCCCGTTCTCGATCGTCGATTTTCCCTGTCTCCCGCGTGGTCGGCGTCGACGTATCCGAGTAGTCGTACGGACGGTGTTGTTACTTTGCTCTAGGTAAGCCCGATCGTCGGCGTGGAGACGAAGTAGAGTAGTGCCCGGTTGAGCTCCTCGAGATCTTCTTGTTCCGGCTGCTTCAAATGCGTCGCCAGTTGGCTCGCGCTATAAGAGAGATACGGTCGGCAGGTTACTGCTGCGAATAGTAGGCAGCCGAGCTTCTGTTGATACTCCTGGATTTGCTTCGCGGGGAGTTTTGCGGAGGTGCTGTTGTTGTTCCCGTAGCGGTAGGGAGTTGGGATCGTAGTCGGCGTTAGACCGAATTTCTTCGCGACGGTGCCTGCGTACTTTCCAGCGTGTAGGTAGAACGCTGTGAGAGTACGACCCCGTTACACCACTTGGCCTTTTCCATATTTCATCTTCATTTCATTCCTCTTTTAATCTCATCTCCTTTGACCTCATATTCCCCATTTTCCATTATCCTTTGGTTTCTTCCCTTATTATAATTATATCACCGACCAGGCATGGAATGTTCTAGACACGCTATCTAGCGTAATCCTGCCGTAATCCCTTAAAGCCAATAGCCTCGCGTGGCTATACGCAGGGTGATTCTATCTTCTAGAAGGGTCTATTTCTTTAGGATAAGATAAACCTGGTTACCTGATGTACTTTGGAAGTATAAAAGCGCCTTGTACTGATCGATAGTGCAACTTTTTCTCGACACATTCGATCCTGTGACACTTGGTAATCAGAGCTTTTCTCACTCGGCCGCGCTCAGCTAAGCAGCAGCAGCGGGGATCCTGCCTCGAAAAACCGCCGGGGGCGACCAATTCGACGCCGATTCTGGTAAGCACCAGCTCCGCGATTTTCGAATTACCCCCTCCGTGCGTGTTTTGAACAGGATGGCAACCTTCGACAACGCCGAGGTTACCCAGCAGCTCTTCGCGCGCATCGCAGCCCTTCAGGAGGAAATGCGAGCGGATCGCGAAGCGTGGCGAAACCAGTTCGAGCGAGTAACTCGACTCGCCGGAGCGCAGCACGAGACGACAACGGCGACGACGCAGCAGTCGCAGCAGTTTCTCGAGGCTCCGAAACCGCGCCCACCTGAGCCGTTCGATCCGAGCGATCGAAACTCCGACGCCCGCAGATGGATCGCCGGGATGGAGATCTACTTCGCAGCCGTCGGATGGAGCTCGCCAGTCTGGGACGGTCAACGCGTACGACACGCGGCGACACTGATGCGAGGGCCGGCACTCGAGTGGATTGGCGGCAACAGTACCTTCATCCACGGTGAAGCCACGTGGCAGCAGTTCCGCGCCGACCTGCTGAAACGATTCGAGCCGATAAATTCAGGTTTCCTTGCCCGCGAAAAAATTCATCGCCATCGACAGTTCGGGAGTGTAGCACAGTACACGCAGCAGATGGAAGAGTTTTATAACCGAATTCCCGACCTGACCGAAGGGGAAAAAGTGCAATCGTACCTCGCAGGGCTGAAGACCGAAGTCAAACGACAGGTGGCAGCGTCAAACTACGCGAGCTACAGTGACGCCGTTTCGGCCGCGGAGCGTTTCGACATGGTCAACGCCGGAACACGACGGACGCACGTTGGCAGTACGCGACAGGGCGACCGCTCGGCTCACACCACGTTCGCCGACCCGATGGAGATCGACAGATTCGACGGGCGGCCACGTCCGAAAAACACCAACTACACGTGTGATTTTTGCGGGGTGCCGGGCCACCGAATCTTCGACTGCAACAAAATGAAGGCCGCACGCGCAGAGTATCGGGCACGCAACAGTGGCGGAAATCTTTCGGCCAATCAGAAGACAAAAAACGGGAGTCGCCAGTGATTGCGGATCTAGCTGGCGAAAATAAAAAGATCCGAAAGCGGCCGCGGGATTCCGGAAAAATCAACTTCGACGAAGTTGATTCGACGTGAGAAGGAGGAAATGATGGGGGAAAATCTCCACCCCACGACCAGTCTTCGCCAGGGAAAATCGCCGAGGAAAAATCAGACTCCGCGAAAAAAGACTCTGCCGAGACAAGGAAACTCCTTGAAGACCCAAAAAATTATAAGAATTCGTTAAAGCTATCCTATAAAGATGCTTTAATGAAAACTTATGATTTTCGAGGGGCTAGAGCCTTGGAGAAAATACGGGAGGGACTCCAAAAGAAGTAGAAAGCTGTGGAGATCGTACCGGTACCGGACAACATGGGGAAAAAATTAAGGAGTGTGGAAAGAAGCCGACCTTTCCACGGAGTCAACGTCCTCTCCCGACACCAGCCCACAACGACTACCCGCTCCCCAGGGAAGACGTCGGTGGAGCTGAAGCAGCTCAAGAGGAAGCTGGGGGTCTACAAGAAGCTGCACAAACCCCGAACTCCTCCAACGGATGCATCCAGTTCTTCGGCATCAAAGACGCGCACAGTCGTCAAGGAAACTCCGGGCCCTGGAGAAGAGCCGTTCTCCAAGCAGCCTCGGCCAGCTGCTAGCTCAGGAGCAGATAGCAACGAAAAGGTGTGTACGGATTATTGGGAGGTACCCTATGACCCCATTAATGAAACTATCTTTGGGTACTCCGAGCAACGCCCGCCTCTCGTGCTCGAGGTCATCTGCAAAGGACGACGCCTCCAAGCACTCGTGGACAGCGGAGCATCTCACACCGTCTGCGACAAGGCAGCAATCGACCGACTTCGGGAAGAGTACAAGCCTTCAGGATTCTCTGCAACGATGTTGGATGGCAGCAAGCTACCAGTACACGGAGAAGCAGTGTTACACCTACAAATTGGACCACTGCGCTGGAGACCTGCACTCCCCATCACCAACATCAAAGGGCTTGACTTGATCTTCGGGCGAGACTTCCTGAAAAAATTCAACCCCGAGATCAACTGAGTGAACCGCACCGCAAGCATCTACAACAATGGACGGAGAGTACAGCTACCCAACTGGGACGATACAGGAGATATCCCAGTGGAGACACTCGCACGATTCGAGAAGGATGTGAAGCGGACCGACACCGGGTTCCTGGCGATAGCAACAGAGGTGGAGAATGACGGAGAGGAAGCCTCGGAAACTCCAGAAAAAATCAAGGAATTATTAAAGGAGTTCCAAGATATTCTTCCTGACGATCTTCCGAACGAGCTACCGCCATACCGAACGCATCAACACGAGATCGTGGAGGAACCGGGTTCGAAGCCGACCTTCCGAGCACCATATCGGCTCAGCCCTACGGAGCTGACTGACATGAAAAAACAGATCGAGTATCTCCTAGCCAAAGGACTCATCCGGCCATCCACTTCACCGTACGGTGCCCCAGTACTCTTCACCCCAAAACCGGACGGAAGCCTGCGCATGTGCATCGACTACCGAGCTCTTAACAAGCAGACCATCAAGAACAAGTATCCGATACCACGAATCGATGACCTGCTTGACCAGCTTCGGGGAGCTACGGTATTTTCCAAACTGGATCTGCGGTCCGGATACTGGCAGATACGGATGGCGGACAACTCTATCCACAAAACTGCTTTCCGGACTCGGTACTGATCGTACGAGTATCTGGTAATGCCGTTCGGACTCACCAACGCACCGGCAACTTTCCAAGCCGAAATGAACCACATTCTACGACCACTTCTGGACGAGTGCGTGGTGGTGTACCTGGACGACATACTCATCTACTCGCGCGACATGAAGCAACACGTCGAACACCTGCGACGCGCCTTCGAAATTTTTCGACGAGAACGATTCTACGTCAAACTGTCCAAGAGCGAATTCGCCCTTGAAAAGGTCCAGTTCCTAGGACACATGGTGAGCGCTCAAGGAGTTCACGTCGACCCCAAGAAATTCGAAGCCGTACGTACGTGGAAGACACCCGAGAACGTGAAGGAGTTGCAGCAGTTCCTAGGCTTCGCCAATTACTACAACAGGTTCGTGCCACAGTATGCAAAACTCGCGGCACCACTCACGAATCTGCTGAAGAAGAACACGCCCTACAAATGGGAGACGAAGCACCAGGAAGCCGTGGAGCAGCTGAAGCAAGCACTTACGTCCGCACCGGTACTCATCTTGCCAGATCCCGAACGTGACTACGTCATTGAAGCAGACGCCAGTGATCAGGCAGTGGGAGCAGTCTTAATGCAAGACCAGGGGAATGGACTACAACCAATTGCCTACCTTAGCAAGAAACTGCACGGGGCAGAACTCAACTACCCGATACACGACAAAGAGGCTCTTGCTATCATCATCGCCTTCAAAGCGTGGAGATGCTATCTCGAAGGACGAAGAACAACCGTCTACACCGACCACTGCAGCCTGAAATATTTGAAGACACAACCAACCCTTTCCAGGCTGCAGGTCCGGTGGATTGACTTCCTCGAGACACACTTCCACTACGACATCGTGTACAAGCCCGTCCACAAGAACAAAGCAGATGCTCTCAGCCGGCCTGCACACGTTGCCGCGATTCAGATCGAAGGGATGAATCCACTACTCAAGGGACCCTTCACACACGGGTACGCCATCGACCCCGAAATTCCCTTGGCAGAAAAGCGACATCTGCTACAGTGGGACAGTGACATCGCGTACCGGAAAGGATCAACGAAAATCTGGGTACCCAATTACCCTCCTTTGCGCCAGTTACTACTCGAAGAATACCACGACGTCCTGTACGCCGGACACTTCGGTAGCAACAAGACGCTGACCGGTATCGCAAAGCACTACTACTGGCCCCACTTAGCAGAAGACGTCCAGAAATTCGTCACCTCGTGTGATACATGTCAGCGGATGAAGAGCAGCAAGCAGAAAAAGGCGGGACTACTGCAGCCTCTTCCTGTCCCATAACAACCATGGCAAGTGGTTAGCCTAGACTTCATCACCGGGTTACCACCTACCTCCAGCGGTCATGACGCCATCCTTGTCGTTATTGACAAGTTCTCCAAAATGGGACACTTCATCCCGACACACACGACGGCACGCACCGAGGAGACAGCACAGCTCTTCGTTCGTCACATCATCTCACAGCATGGCATCCCAACTACACTCATCTCCGACCGAGACCCCAAGTTCACTAGCAAGTTCTGGAAGGAACTTATGTCTCTTCTCGGGACCAAACTCGCCATGTCATCCGCATACCATCCGCAGACAGACGGACAGACCGAGCGCCTCAACCAAATTGTTGAGCAACTCCTCCGAGCAGCCTGCAAGGACGACATCTCCAAATGGGACTTGCACCTGCCCGTTCTGGAGTTTGCTTACAACAACGCCACACATGCCGCTACTGGACAGACGCCGTTCTTCCTCTGCTACGGACGCCACCCACTCACACCACAGAAACCGACAACATCAGCAACAGTCCAACCTGCACATGATTTCATCACAACCATGCATCAGCTTTGGGATCGGACCCACAAGTGCCTACTCGACATTCAACAGCAACAGAAGCGCCAAGCCGATCGCCATCGCAACGACCACACCATTTCCGTGGGAGACCAGGTGCTTCTCGACACCCGCAACCTGGACATCAGCCATCTCCCATCTAAACTTCGACCTCGCTTCTGCGGGCCTTTTCTCGTTGAAGCACAAGTCACTCCTGTTACCTTCCGCTTACGCCTGCCAGCTACCTGGAAGATTCACAACGCCTTCCATGTCCAACTTCTGAAGCCCTATCGAGATCCTAACACGATCTTTGTGGGACGCCAGCCGCCGCCGCCGCCGCCCGTCCTCGTCCAGAACGAACCCGAGTACGAGGTCGAGTCCGTGCTTGCACATCGTCGTCGTCGGAATGGCACCGTGGAGCTTCTCATCCGTTGGAAGGGTTATGATCCTTCTGAGGACAGCTGGGTACCTGAGTCCGACATGGGTAACGCCCGTCGTCCTCTGCATGACTACCTTGTCAAGCAGGGTGTTACTTCTACCACCCAGCTTTGAGGGGGGGAAGTGTGAGAGTACGACCCCGTTACACCACTTGGCCTTTTCCATATTTCATCTTCATTTCATTCCTCTTTTAATCTCATCTCCTTTGACCTCATATTCCCCATTTTCCATTATCCTTTGGTTTCTTCCCTTATTATAATTATATCACCGACCAGGCATGGAATGTTCTAGACACGCTATCTAGCGTAATCCTGCCGTAATCCCTTAAAGCCAATAGCCTCGCGTGGCTATACGCAGGGTGATTCTATCTTCTAGAAGGGTCTATTTCTTTAGGATAAGATAAACCTGGTTACCTGATGTACTTTGGAAGTATAAAAGCGCCTTGTACTGATCGATAGTGCAACTTTTCTCGACACATTCGATCCTGTGACATTCGTGATCTGGCAAGATGAGTACTGGTGCGGACGTGAGTGCTTGTTTTAGCTGCTCCATGGCTTCCTGGTGTTTTGTCTCCCATTTATAGGCCGTGTTCTTCTTCAGCAGATTCGTGAGGGGTGCCGCGATTTTTGCATACGGTGGCACGAACCTGTTGTAATAATTAGTGAAGCCTAGGAACTGCTGCAACTCCTTTACGTTCTCGGGTGTCTTCCACGTACGTACGGCTTCGATTTTCTTGGGGTCGATGTGAAGCCCTTGAGCGCTCACCACGTGTCCTAGGAACTGGACCTTCTCAATGGCGAATTCGCTCTTGGACAGTTTGATGTAGAATCGTTCCCGTCGAAGAATTTCGAAGACGCGTCGCAGGTGTTCGACGTGCTGCTTCATATCGCGCGAGTAGATGAGGATGTCGTCCAGGTACACCACCACGCATTCGTCCAAAAGTGGGCGTAGAATGTGGTTCATCTCGGCTTGGAACGTTGCCGGTGCATTGGTGAGTCCGAACAGCATGACCAAATACTGGATGGAGTTGTCCGCCATTCGTATCTGCCAGTATCCGGATCGCAGATCTAGTTTGGAAAATACCGTAGCTCCCCAAAGCTGGTCAAGCAGGTCATCGATTCATGGTATCGGATATTTATTCTTGATGGTCTGCTTGTTAAGAGCTCGATAATCGATGCACATGCGCAGGCTTCCGTCCGGTTTCGGGGTGAAGAGTACGGGGCACCGTATGGCGAAGTGGATGGTCGGATGAGTCCTTTGGCGAGGAGATACTCCATCTGCTTCTTCATGTCGGCTAGTTCTGTGGGGCTTAGCCGGTATGGTGCTCGGAAGGTTAGTTTCGAACCCGGTTCCTCCACAATCTCGTGTTGATGCGTTCGGTATGGCGGTAGCTCGTTCGGAAGATCGTCCGGAAGAATGTCTTGGAACTCCTTCAGCAATTCCTTGATCTTTCCCGGAGGTTCCGAGTTTCTCTCTCCGTCGTTCTCCACTTCGGTTGCTATTTCCAGGAACCCGGTGTCGGTTCGCTTCACGTCCTTTTCGAATCGTGCGAGTGTCTCCACTGGGAAATCTCCTGTATCGTCCCAGTTGGGTAGTTGGACCCTCCTTCCATTGTTGTAGATGCTTGCGGTGCGGTTCACCCTGTTGATCTCGGGTTGTTTCTTTCCAGGAAGTCTCGCCCGAAGATCAAGTCAAGCCCTTTGATGTTGGTGATGGGGAGTGCAGGTCTCCAGCGCAGTGGTCCGATTTGTAGATGTAACACTGCTTCGCCGTGTACTGGTAACTTGCTGCCGTCCACCATCGTTGCAGAGAATCCTGAAGGCTTGTACTCTTCCACAAGTCGGTCGATTACTGCCTTGTCACAAACGGTGTGCGATGCTCCGCTGTCCACGAGTGCTTGGAGGCGTCGCCCTTTGCAGATGACCTCGAGCACGAGCGGCAGGCGTTGCTCGGAGTACCCAAAGATAGTTTCACTGATAGGGTCATAGGGTACATCCCAATATTCGTTGCTTCCTACTCCTGAGCTGGCAGCTGGCCAAGGCTGCTTGGAGAAAGGCTCTTCTCCAGGGCCCGGAGTTTCTTTGACAACTGTGCGCGTTGTTGATGCCAAAGTTGCTGAGCTGAAGGAGCTGCTTCAGCTCCACCGACGTCTTCCCTGGGGAACGGGTTGTCGTTGTGGGCTGGTGTCGGGAGAGGACGTTGACTCCGTGGAAAGGTCGGCTTTTTCCACACTCCTTAATTTGGTCCCTATGTTTTCCGGTACCGGTACGATCTCCACAATTTTCTACTTCTTCTGGAGTCCTTTCGAAATTTCTCCAAGGCTCTAGCCCCTAGAGAATCATAAGCTTTCATTAAAGCATCTTTATAGGATAGCTTTAACGAATCCTTATAATTTCTTGGGTCTTCAAGGACTTTCCCCGTCTCGGCAGAGTCTTTTTTCGCGGAGTCCGATTTTTTCTCGGCGATTTTCCCTGGCGAAGACTGGTCGTGTGGTGGAGATTTTCCCCCATCATTTCCTCCTGTCCGCGTAAAATCAGCTTCGTCGAAGTTGATTTTTCCTGAATCCCGCGGCCGCTTCCGGATATTTTCTTCTGGAGCTCGCGTAGTTTGACGCTGCTACCTGGCGTTTGACTTCGGTCTTCAGCCCGGCGAGGTAAGACTGTACTTTTTCCCCTTCGATCAGGTCGAGAATACTGTTTTAAAATTCTTCCATCTGTTGCGTGTACTGTGCTACACTCCCGAACTCTTGATGTCGATGAATTTTTTCCCAGGCAAGGAAACCGGAATTTATCGGCTCGAAGCGTTTAAGCAGGTCGGCGCGGAACTGCTGCCACGTGGCTTCACCGTGGATAAAAGTGCTGTTGCGGCCAATCCACTCGAGTGCCGGTCCTCGCATCAGCGTCGCCGCGAGTCGTACGCGTTGACCGTCCCAGACTGGCGAGCTCTATCCGACAGCTGCGAAGTAGATCCCCATCCCGGCGATCCATCTGCGTGCATCGGAGTTTCGATCGCTCGGATCGAACGGCTCAGGTGGGCGCGGTTTCGGAGCCTCGAGAAACTGCTGCGACTGCTGCGTCGTCGCCGTTGTCGAGTCATGCTGCGCTCCGGCGAGTCGAGTTACTCGCTTGAACTTGTTTCGCCACGCCTCGCTGTCCGCTCGCATCTCCTCCTGAAGAACGGCGATGCTCGCGAAGAGCTGCTGGGTAACCTCGGCGTTGTCGAGGGTCGCCATCTTGTTCAAAACACGCGCGGGGGGGGGGGGGGGGGGGGGGGTAATTCGAAAAATCGCGGAGCTGGTGCGTACCAGAATTGCCGTCGAATTGGTCGCCCCCGGCGGTTTTTCGAGGCAGGTTTTCCCGCTACTGCTGCTTTGTTGAGCGCTGCCGAGTGAGAAAGGCTCTGATTACCAAGTGTCACAGGATCGAATGTGTCGAGGAAAGATTGCACTATTGATTGATACAAGGCGCTTTTATACTTCCAGAGTACAGCAAGTAACCAGGTTTATCCTATCCAAAGGGAATAGACCTTTCCATAATATAGAATCACCCTGCGTATAGCCACACGAGGCTATTGGCTTTAAGGGATTATGGTAGGATTACGCTAGATATAGCGCGCCAGTACATCCCAAGCCTGGTCGGTGATATAATTATAATAGCAGGATAACCCAAAGGATAATGGAAAATGGAGAATAGGAAACCAAATGAGATAGGATAAAAAGAGAAATGAAATAGGAAGGAAATAAGAAAAGGCCAAGTGGTGTAACGGGGTCGTACTCTCACATATAGTTGTGAACAACGACAGGACCAAAAGAGGGGTCAGCAAGTGCGGCAGCGGCAGGCGTAGGCACGGAAGAAGCAAGCAGACGCACCAGAGTTAAGTGTGAAGGACAGCAAAGCAGTAGCAGTAGACGAAGGAGGGGCGAGTGTAGAGCCTATGCTAGACGAAGCAAACAGTCCTATGCTTGATGCAGCACGGGAGTCTGTACTACACACTGGTGCTGCGCCTAAGCTAGAAAATACAGGGTAATAAGATCTGGACACACTAGAGGCGTCAGCATACAAAGAATGCAAGGGAGATCTAATCTGATCCATGTCTAAGTCAAAACCAGGCACACCGTGGCGCTGCAGACTGGGCCAGTCAGGGAGGTCCGGTCTGGAGCTGGTACTGGCAGCTCACAGCACCGAAGCCGCCGGTAGACGTCGAGCTGCGAGGGCCGCCACCGCGGCTACCACCTCTTGGGGCTCCTGGCCACCCCAGCAGGAGGCGAGCCCATGGCTACTGCGGCTACTGCTGCTGCTGCTGTTGATGTTGTTGTTGTTGTTGTTGCGGCTGCTGGTTCTGCTGCTGCTGCGACTACTGCTGCTGCATCTGCTACGGCTGCTGCTGCTCTTGGACATCAGCCCCAACCCCCTCGTCAAAACCACTGTCCTCGCCACCACCACTACCACCACCAGCGCCACCACCACGCCCTCCCTTGGGGCCGCGGTGGCCCCAACGCTGTCGTTGCTGTGGGAAGGCCGCAACTGCGGTCTCTATGGCAGGGGCAGCCGTAGCGACCGCAGCGAAGATGCCAGCGTACGTGCACTGGGAGGGAGCCCCAAGAGGTGGTGGGATTCTCGCGATGCTGTAGCACAACCCTGAAAGATAGGGATCGCCGCAACACCGCTCGACTGAGCGATATTGCGATGGCGAGTCTTTGTCTCAGACAGGGTAGTAACAAAGGTGGTCAGGGTGAGGTCGCCAGGGTG